GGTTGGTGGCGGCGGCGGTGGTGGCTGCAGCAATGATAGTGGTGGTTGGTGTGGTGGTGATGGTAGCGGTGGCGTGGTGATGATAGACTGTAGTTATAATGCAAAAAATGCGGAATTATGCAGAAAAAAGAAAAAAATTAAAATTTAAAACTAAAAAATAAAAAATTGAAAAACATAAATAATTAATAAATAATTAAAATTTTTTTAAAAAATAAATTTAAAAAATAAAATTTAAAAAATAAAAAGAATTATAAATACTGAATTAAACGAAATCAAAAAAATGAAAAAATAAAATATACGAAATTTTAAAAAAAATTAAAAAAAATATGCAGAAAATGTTTTTGCAATATGTTTAAAGTACAGAAAATTAAAACGTCCAATCTATAAGGTAATTAGTTATTTCTAATGTTGAAGGATCTGATCCCCGGCAACGATGCCAAAAACTTGTTGCGACTCGGCAAGTGCACCGGTCGTAAAGTAATAAAGTGTACCGGAGTACGAGATCGTTCCCACGAGGATCGGATTTTCAAGCACTAGTTCGCTAATCGCGTCTTAGTTGGACAATCAAAAGTAAGATTTTAGAGAATTGTAACTGAAGAACTTAAAATTAAAACAAGTAATAACATTCAACTAAGAAAATTCAGAATTAAAAAGATAATTGAAAGATGATGATTGATTAAGAATGTAAAGCAAGCGTAGTTAAGGTTTCGACTTCCCTCAATCTCCTCAATATGTTATGAATTAAACTGTCAAAAATATGTTCTTAATATATTGCCAATCAACTATTTCTAAGTTAATCAGGACTCAATTCCTTGTTACCCTAAATCTATGTGATCTTAGAAGAACCCTAGTTCCCCGGTTATTCCCCAAGAAAACATGCATTAAGATCAAGAATTCCAAGATTGCACAATTACTCTATGTCTATCCCTAGATCACAAGGATTGTGATAAATTTATCCAATCAGGGTTCATGCACCAACATCCCTATTGTCATACAATTCCCCAAAATCATTCTATAAGGAGCAAACTCATAGAAAACATTAAAAACAGATAAATTTATTCAATTATAAAAAGAAAAGAATTCAGAGACAATTTAATTCATAAACATAAAGATTCAATTGGGTTCCATCTACCCCTAACTACATAAAAGTCTAGCCTAGCATACTGAATTCAAAAATAATAGTAAAGAAAAGAGAACCCCAAGCCTCCATTGGTGTGATGTTGACTTGTTTCCTCAGTGTTCCAGCGCTCCGCAACAGGATTCCTCCTTCATGTCTCTATGTAATTCTCTGGACTTGTGAATTGGTTGACCTTGAGCTCCCCATTTATAACCTTTGAAGCCATATCTTTTAATTCTTCATCAAATCTCCCCATGAATCTCTATCAACTCCCAATTAAATATTGATTTGTTTCTGTTTTTATTTAAGATCCTGCATATTGGGCTTCAAATCTTTGTTATGATTCCTTTATCACTTCTTAGCATCAAATCTTGTGGATTTACCTTCAGAATAAGCAAGATATGAAAACATTAGCTAAATTTTCAAATCTTTATGGTTTTATCATATAACACCTTGAATTCCATGCAATCTACCATATAATTCTTGTAGAATTTAGCATAAAAACATGGTAAACCAAGGGTTTATCAGCGATTCATCAAAACACTTCCTTATGATGTACAACTACGATTTCTTAACCCTCGAAGCGTGCCTTCCTTTTTCTCCCTTCGTAATTAAATTACTTGAGCATATTCAAGTGGCACCATCTCAACTTCATCCCAATGCTTGGGGATTTATCAGAGTTTATGAGATGGTCTGTAAGGCTTACAACTTGGTCCAGTCGCCAGAATCCTTCTTGTGTTTGTTTAGTGTGTTTGGTTCACGCAAAAGTTGGGTATCTTTTAGAGGAAATGCAAATTATAAGTTTTGTGAAGTGTATCCAAGGAGGGTGCACAACTGGACCATAGATTTCTTCGAGATTTATCCTGCGAGAGATTGTCATCCATTTTTCCTAAGTGAGGAGGACAATTCTCCTCTATTTCCCCTGTATTGGACCAGATATCCCTCGGAAGAGCATAAGCTGAATATTTCTTTTTCGGATTTAAACGATTATGAACGGAAGACAATCAACACTTTGCGTAATATTGCATGAGAGGCATCAGATACAGGATTATTGAGTGCCTTTACCATTCTGAATGAGTACACAGAAGAAGATGTTAAAGTCTTCTTGGGTAAATGCTCCATTGATTTATTGCATACTTAGGTATTTTATCTGTATGCACTTTTGACTGTTGATCTAATATATGCTTTTGTTATGTGCCAGATAGCACAATGTCTTCCAGCTAAAACAGCTAGAGGCTCTGGCTGCAAGGAGAGAAAAGGGTGGCTCAAGCCCTACTAGTGCCAATCTGCCTACAACAGACACATGCGCTTCTCCCTCAGGAGTACAATCAAGCCATGGCACAACACACCTTACTTCACCTGGTCCTCAAACTGTAAAATCGATATCTACTTCTCCTAAGGAAAAGAAAAAAAAAAGAGGTAGCCCAAATAACAAGGGGTAAGAAAAGAAAAGTCGAAGAGTCCATCTTTTCCTGTCAAGATTCAACATATTAGGGAGGTGACTGGGGCACTAAGGAATGTCTATATGCCAAAGGGAAAGAAATTGGTCCCTTGATTGAGAATGCTGAAGAGGGTGAATAGGATAGGGAAGTGGCGAAACTGAACATAGCGAACCAGTGTTTGATGTCGCTAGCAGGTATTTATATTATCTCACTTGATTTGCGTAAGATTTCTTTCTTAAGAAAGCGTATCTGCTAACCCCCTCCTCTTTTTTGACAGGTACGTTTCCTTCCTTAAATCGCGCATTATGACTCTGCGAGATGAAAAGACCAACATGATTTCTGAATTCGAACAAGCCAAGAAGGTGGCTGAAGATGAAAAAAACAATATATCTAATGAACTGAAAGAGTTGAAGGCCAACAATGCCACGCTAAAAATGCAAAAAATAGGCATTTCAAACCTAGTGAAGGATTTAGTGACAAACATTGGTTCCTTGGAAGAAGAAAAGACTAATCTGAGTTCTGAAGTGGCGAGATACCATGAACTCTTTGAAAATGAGGTTGTTGGTACTTATGAAAGTATCATCGAGCATGTACTCCTTTTCAATCCTACTGAGAAGCTAGAGAACGTGCATTATCTTCATTTCGTGAAGAATGGTCAATTGATGAAGATGAATGAGAATCGGGAAGAAGAGTTGGTGGAACTAGTGAGCACAATGGATACTGAGAAACCAACTCCACCAGTTGTTCCAGAAAATGTAACGGATATCCAGACTGATGCAGCGGATGGGCCTCGTGACATGTCAATTCAAACGATTTAGGATCATCTTCTTCTTTTCTTTCTGTGTTGTATTAATGGTGGAATCACCAAAACAATTTGCAAGAGCGTTTTGTAAACATGGTATGTTCCGTGTAAATCATAACTATTTTTGTTAACTTTTTGCTGGATAATTTGCATCTTCTGATATTTGTAATTGTCTTCAATCCTTGTTGTTTCTTCATGTTTTGCACCAAGTCTTTAATTCTTCTCCATATTTTGCGTGATGGAAATCGTAGGCTTTTTCCTTCCTTGTTTGCATAACGGAAGTTTTAACCAGTTAAGATTTTACCTTCCTCTTTTTTGTATAATGAAAGTTTTAACCAGTTACGATTTTACCTTCCTTTTTATTCTGCGCATTGGAAGTTTTAGTCACTTAAGGTTTTACCTTACTTTTTATTCTGCGCAATGGAAGTTTTAACCAGTTAAGGCTTTACCTTCCTCTTTCCTTGCATAATGAAAGTTTTAACTAGTTAAGGTTTTACCTTCTTTTTTATTCCGCGCATTGGAAATTTTAACCAGTTAAGGCTTTACCTTTCTTTTTATTTTGCACATTGAAAGTTTTAATTAGTTAAGGTTTTACCTTCCTCTTTTCCTGCATAATAAAAGTTTTAACCAGTTAAGGTTTTACCTTCCTCTTTATTTTGCGCATTGGAAGTTTTAACCAGTTAAAGCTTTACCTTCCTTTTTATTCTGCACATTGGAAGTTTTAACCAGTTAAGATTTTACCTTCCTCTTTTCCTACATAATCGAAGTTTTAACCAGTTAAGATTTTACCTTCCTCTCTCTTGCCTGTATTGCACAATGGAAATTTTAACCAGTTAAGGCTTTACCTTCCTTCTTAATTTGCATGCGATGATTTACGTGTCTAGAACTTATAATTCAGAGCTTGACAAACCCATAATCTTTATTTTTAATACTTATTTTATAGTAGATAATGAACTCTAATCAAGAAATGAACGAGGTTCATAAACTAGTGCACTTGTTTAATGAAATTTGAGATCAATTAACATCTTTACTATATTATTTTATTTTGATGAATTTGTACTTTGTACTCAACCATAAGTTTTATGATATTTATAATATTCCCATTTGAATTATTATAATGTTGTTGACAATTTATATTGTTATTTGAAATTTTGATAACTTTGGTAAATGTTCTTTTTTCATTTTAAGTGATAGTCCATTTAAATTTTTTAGAGTTTTATGTTTATCATGTAACATAACACAACTTCACTTTCCTACACACACATTAAAGAGGTGGAATCCACATGTTTTTCTTTCTCTTTCATCATTCCACTTTCTCTCTCCCTTTTATTGTGTGTGTTGAAAACAAAACTTAAAAAAACCCAAATTTTTATGATGTTTTTAATTTAATCTTTTAAAAAATAAATTCCTAATTTTTTTTGTGTCATGTTAACTTGCGACATGCATCAAATCATGTTTGAGTTCGAGTTTTTGACAATTCAACAAATACATGTCATGGATCGGTTGATTTCTTATTGTCAAACTTAACTGCCACCCTAGAAGCACACAATAGATGAGTCGTGACATTCATGTAGGGAAGCTACAAACAAATGTAACTTCAATAATCAAAAAGTTGAACCCAATATAAACATAAACAGCAATAGCACATGCATTTCGATTCAGTTTCTGATTAACTAGATTGAACAATCTATTTACAACCCAAGTCAAAAAACAAAAAAAACATCTGTATCAAAACTACTATAACTAAGTTCAAATGTTTATGGACATGGAAAGCATCAAAGTTCCAAATAAAGAAAATAGATGAATAACATATCACCCAGAAAGCAAGAGCTACTAGACACAGTTTGGGCTATCAAATTCTAACCGATTTGGTTGTACTGACACGATGCTGCAAGTGAGGATTCAGCAGTTTAGAATGGCTCACATTTTGGCTCTGCTGCATAGGAGGGTTCAACAACCCTGTATCCTCAGTTACACGAAATACTGTAACATGCAACACTACATCCTTCATTCTAAGTAGCTCAAACACACAAACATCACCTTCCCCCAAATTGTTCTCCAGTGTAAATTCAAACCATCCCTGGCTTAACTTTGCTCGACCTCCTTTATAAAGGCAGCGAACCGACCACTGTCTCCCGTCAGAGATTTGAAGTTTAATGAACCCCGAAACCCCATTCAAATTCTTTTCTGCAAAGCAGGATGGCAAATACTGGAAAACAGAAACACAAGTTCAATATGTAAGATGACACATCGAAGAAGAATAAAGATAAACCATCACTCCCTATAAAGCCTCAAGTAATGAGGATAGGGATAAGAGCAATCCCTGTATGCAGTCTTATCCTTGCATATTTGCAAAAAGACTGTTTCCCGGATTTGAACTTGTGATCTTTTAGTTACAAAGGAGCAACTTTGCCACTGCTCCAGACTTGCCCTTTTAAGAATAAAGATAAACATCGATTTGAATTCAACATGTCACCATTATGCATCCCCTATATAAATAGGAGGGTCGAAGGACAACTCGACAAAATGGATTGGGTGGTTCAAATGCTTTTGCTGCATTAATTGCCCTTTCTCTTTCTTCCGCTGTCACGGTTCTTTTTCTTGCAGATGCACTTTCATAAAATCTATAGCGCATTTCTGCTTCCTCCTCATGTTCTGCAGAGGGTTCCTCGCCATCTAGAGTTCCATAAAATGTATTGATGAGAAAATTCATTGTTTAGATAACCAGATCATAGAAAGAAAACCGGGTTAAGATTTAAAAGAGCTTACCAGGATCTGATTTTCGCTTCCTTCTTACAGTTTTATTAACCCCTTCCTCATTAGAATAACGCAATTTCAATTCTTCAGTAGACCTTTTAAACTCAACAGCATTAAACTGAACACCTATGTCTCTGGTTGATTGAATGTCTTGGGAATTGGCACCCTTTGAAGAAAAAGCACTTGCACTATCTCCCCAGTTTACGCGATTGAGTTTAGACCCACCATTAAACAAATTCTGCAATGATGGAGTATGACTCTTCCCAGGGGTCAGTTGATCTACAGATCCAGCAAAAGCCTTGTTTTGCAATCCACCAGAAGTAAGGCGCGAAGATGACGAATCCAAGAATTCAAAGGAGTCTACATCTTCCATTTCGTCAAAAATATGATGATAATTTGCAAAGTAATGCCCTTCATTACGGCTTCTCATGGATGTTTGATAATTTATCTCGGAAGTACTCAAATTAAAAATATGAACAATGAAAGATGAATTTCCTTCATACATGAATACCAACAAGTATCCAACGCCTACGGAGTAGCGTTGAATAAATTCTTGCCACCCATCAAGGAAGCAAAATCTGTTGTCTACCTTTTTTAATCCTACACGCCAGACACTACCATCAGGAACAGTGAGGGTAGTAATCGTAGAAAGTTCACCCCCATATTTCCTCATAAAATAATCTGGAATCCTCTGCAATTCAAAATACATTAGGTTACAAATATTAGTACATTCTTGCAATAAAAGACTGAAGATGGAGATTCCACCAATTTTATGATAATGTTATTAACTATAAGAACTAAAAATTTAATGATGACGAGAATAAAAGGCATGTCATGCAATTCCGTCACTTGAAAATACCCCACTGCCCCCACCATCATGAAGAATGGCGGTTCCTCCCTCCCTCCCTTGAGAATAAAAGGCATGTCATGCAAGAATCTGAAACTACACCAGTGAAACTTCTAATATAATTGCCGCAAACAAATATCTTAGGTTCACTTAAAAGTGGTTCCTCCCTCCCTTCTCCTGTGCCTTGCAAATACTTAAAAATATCTTCAAAACACAATTGCATAGGTATAGTATTAAAACCAATTTGAGTGGATATGGGGAAAAAAAAAATCTTTTCACCTCACCATATATTTCTTTCCTTTCTCCTAGATCAAGTGACGAGGAAAATTTCTAGTGTCCATTAAGAAATTAGAACTCTAAAGCAACGAACCAACTTAGTTATACGTATGAAATATATGACCTCTCAAAATTTCCTTCATGTTAAACCTCATTTCTTCCCCTAAAGAACTCAAGTATGAAACAGCTATATAGATGTAAATAGCCAACTAGTTCTCCAAATTCCAGAGAGCAATACACTCAAGAGCATAAATTTTATCATGAAAACAATCTGACAGCACATATTCAATTTCTTTGCCACATGTTATGTTCTGATTTGAGTATTACTCTGAGAGTAGGTTAAGAATTTCTCCTCCAACAGACTCTAATTTCAACCAAACAACTAACAAAGCAACTTTAGGTGAGATTGTTCAATTAGGAAGTTGGAGCCAAAGAAAACTGCAACGCTTATATATAATGTATGCACACTGTTAAAAGAAAGACATGAACAAACCAACCCACTTTAATTCTAAGACTGATATTCAGTTCAGCCACCATGGTACCTCTTTTGAAGAAACCATAAAACCTTGACATTCAAAGGATATTGTCCTTTATCAACAATCTCAAGAGAACATCCAAGAACACCCCACTTACCCCATCCAACCCAAAAATTGGTGTTCAGAATCAGAGGGTTGAAAAAAATAAAATAATCCAAACGTGGTGAAAAGGGGTATCAGGGTTTGTAAGTAAAGGTGGTGGGGAAGAAGTGGAAAAGACCCAGAAAGCATTTCACTGCCACCTTCACAAACCCAATAAAATCCAATCCAAAAATCAAGATCATAACCAATTCCAAACAAAAAGAAAGAAAGAAATTCAATGGGTGAAAAAGGAAAGAGAAATTTAAGTACCAGTTGCCTGGATTGAAGAGTGGAAGGCAGAATAAGCTTGTGGAAACAAGGGCGTGCCATTCAGTGAGTGTTTGGGGAACCAGAAAAGACGAATTTTCAAAGCATTTTTGAGGACCCTTTGATTGAAAGTTGAAAACTTTGGAGGGATTTTGCTTGGTTACTCAGATCTACTTCTTCTTCACCTTCTTCTCCACCCTTCTCTGCTTTTGAGTCAAACAAGGATTTTTAAACCTTTAAAAAACCCCCACCTTGACCTAATTAAAAGCTAACGAGTCCATGACTCGGTTGAGTTACCTCAATCCCTTTTTCCGTTATTATTTTTAACAATAGCAACTAAGTATATTGGATTAGGATTTAAAAAAAAAAAAATTTGTACAGATTTTAAATGACATTTTAGAATTGGAGAGACTTTATAAAAAATTTTAAAAGACTTTTTTTACAATCAAGATTTCATAAGATTGAATTTTAAAGAATTTTAATATAATTCATAAGATTTGAAAGGACAATATGAATTTATAAGATTTTAAAAAATCATATGAATTTTTAACAAACATTCAAAATTACAAGAGTCAGTACAAAAAGAAAACTTATATTTATCACCTATTTTTGTTTACAATATTTTACTACCATATTTTAACCTCGTTGATTTTTGTCAATCAACAGTTATCATTCATTGCAAATTAAATATTAATTAATAAGTTTGATTTGCGAAAATAATAACCATTGATTGACGAAAATCAACAGTTAAGATATGGTTGTAAAAGGTTGCAGACAAAAATAGGTTGTAAATATAATTTTCCATAAAAAAATAACAAAGAAATACAATGAAATTAATAAAAAAATAAAACCAAATATAATTTTCTCAATCAGTAAAACATAATGGGGAAGGATATACTTACCACAAAAAAAGTTTGCAACTTTTACAACTACCTTAATCACCATTGATTTTCGTCAATCTAACGGTTATAATTTATTGGAAATTATTAGGTCGTATTTATTAATTCCCAATAAATTATAACTGTTAGATTGAAGGAAATCAATGGTGATTAAGTTGTTTATAAAGGTGGTAAAACTTTTTGGTGGTAAGTATATCGTGCCCCAAACATTAATATAATTTTTAACAAACATTCAAAATTACTAAACAACAGTTTTTCACATATCTAATGGGTTGAAAATCATCTTCTTCATTTGGTATCAAAGCTATGTATATATGATTATAAGACCCAATTTTTTTAATTATAAAAATAATTCTAAATTTGCATAGAACCTAAAGTTCATGATAAAATTTCGTTTGGAATTTTTTGCAATTGATCTTAAAAACCTTGAGGTTTTTGGAATTTTCAAACCATATATCATATGCATATTTTCATTGATATTAAGAAAATTTTGGGTTTAATTACATGAAAGTTTAGAAAATTTCTCAAATTTTTTTCAATCGATACATTGAAATTTTAAATTGCTTTGGGGCTTATGAGAAACAAGCTTTTAGTTATCTATTGACACAAAAATTGTTTGAAATCATTTCCTATAGTGAAGGAATTTCGTTCATGAATGTATTATTACGAAATATAGAGTTCATATTATGAAAGTTTCAATCTTTCTTTAAATTGATATTGTTTCATTGATGTAAAACGAAAATAATACGAAAGTTTCCCTGTCATTTTTTTACTGTTTTATGTTGTTTTTAATACAAAAAGCACATTTTTGTGCCAAGAAAAATCGCAACCCATAGCTTGAAAAATCACTTTTTAAACATCCAAAATTTCTCAAAAATATGTTATTTTAAGATAGATTATATTAATATCTCGTTGGTTTGTTGTTTCTGGGTTATTTTGTGATGAAAATCGCTCAAAAATATGCAATTTTTTTTTTAAGTTTTGACAAAGCTCTCATGGCGGAACCCAATTTCGAACAGTCAACCTACCAAAGGAAGAAGAAAACACTGCAATAGAAGAATCTCAAGAAATCCTAGGGGTTGGAGTGAGATTGTGAGAGAGGCATCTTATTTATATTTTTTACTAAAAAGTGTCACGAAATCCACACTAATAGAAAATCCATTAAAATCGTCGGATTTTTGAATACCACAAGATTGTGATTCCATTGTTTAAAATCCTGATTGAATACCAACGGATTTGGACGGATTCTAAAATAATCCTTTAAAATGCTAAGCGAATACCAACGGATTTTTTTGTCCAAAAACAATCCATTAAAATTCTTTGAAATCTCAATCCAATACACCCCCCCTAAATGTAGGATATTGTAACAATCAATTAAGGTTATTACCAATCAATTTCACCGTTAGATCAATTATATTGATTCAACAGTTATATTTATTTTCATCTTTGTATGATTAAATATGGAGAATCATAACCATACAAAAATGAAAATAAATATAACAGTTGGATCAACATAATTGATCTAACGGTGACATTGATTGGTAGTAATATTAGTAATAATCCTAATTGGTTGTTATAATATCCTACCCCACTTACTAATTATCAAATCACTAAAAATCCAGTATTTCTTTATATAAATAAATATGATGACGGTTATCCTTACTATTATTTTAAATTTACTATTCTTATTATCTGATTAGTTACCCATTATCATTGGATCAATTTAAAATCAACACTTGAAAAATAGAAAAAAATTAATTGCCCTTAATTTCAAATTGATCTAAAGGCAACCAATCAGATAATAAAAGTAATAAGCTTAAAATAATAATAAGTATAACCATTTCTAATAAATATATGAATTTTGTTATTTAGAGATCATATTTTATTGATTTAATAATTCAAAAATTCACATTTTACTAGTCTTGTCCTCAACCCTCACATTAGATGAAATTTGAAAATGCTAAAAAAAGAAAAAAGAAGGCTAAAGCAATGCCATTTCATCCCAAAACTCGACATTTTCCGTTTATAGAGTTATAAAATGGATGAAGGGATGTAATTTATGTATAATTGAGCTTGAATGTCAGAGAGATAGGCTAAAAAACCTTAAAATGGTACCCAAATTCCTTTAGGGAGGGTTTGGTTGAGGAAATTTTTTTTGAATACTAGGGAAATGTAACTAATAGGAAAATGGTTGAAAAGTGAGTTTGGTAGGAAAATGTAAAAAAAATTGTTTGGCTGGAAAAATTTTACCGGAAAAATTTGGTAAATATTATAAAGTCTATGTTTGGTTTGAGTTAAAATATTGATAGGAAAATGAGGTGAAATTACCAAAATACCCCTTATTTTTAAATATTTTGAATCTCATCCTGCGGTGTCTATGTTTGATTGTGTGAAGAGTACTCTCATTCAGTGTCATAAATTTATCAGAAATTGCCACATCTTTTTAGACTATTCAAACCTCTAGAAATTGCCTCTGTGTTCATCGCACTCGGCTTCCGGTTATGGTGAAGGATTAAGGTAACTTTATAAAATGGTAATTTTGATAGTTATGGTGCCAATTCTTTTTCATTTACCTAGCTTTTGTGAAATACCACCTTGGAAGTGAGATTTGAATACCATGCATTTTATCAAATTTTGCAAACAATTATCAATGGCTAGGCAAATCACCTAGCTAGAAAAAAAATTTAATACCATGTATCAAAGATGGACAATTCCAAATGCCAATCTCATATGCCTAGGTAAATTGCAAGAAAGCTGCTACCAAACACAACCTATAAAAAAATAGAACCTAAAGCTGTTTTATCCCCACATCTTCCTTCTTTAGATGTATATATGTGCGGGGGCAAAGCAGATTTCAACCTTATCAAGTAATGTCAATCATAATGATAGTTTATTTTAAAACATATTTAAAACGCCAATCATAATCTCATGCAATTTTTAACAGGATTGTTGACTTGGGATGGAAAATGATCATAATCTTAAGCAATTTTTAAATCTTACACAAGTTTGAAGATTTGAGCTAAACATTATTTAAACTTCCATGAGGTGTTTATTTCAAATTTTAAAACCTGTTTGAGAAGTTAAAATTGCACCCGACAATCATGTGATGATTTTTTTCATTTATGTTAGCAATGCCATTATGTTAAATAGTCAAAGTGAATATAATTTAAATTTTTTGAGTGATTACAAGTGGTTGAAGTAAATCATAATAGTGAAATTTGTTCGGAATTCTGGTGAATAATAAAGTCTTGCATCGAAAAAGAATGAATTAAATACAAAATCTGTAATTAAAAAACTCATAAGCTCAATATTTTAAGATTTTGAATTAAAATATATAATTAAATTCACGTATTGTAGGTTATTGATTATACTAGTCTCCCATACTTTAGGCCCCACTGCTGCATAACAAAATTGATATTAAATAAAGATATTGGTTGGTAAAATATACTTTCCTCTAAATAGTGATCTAGACTAGAGTTCATTGTAATGTTTTAATGGAAAAAATATTTGTGGTGATAAATAGAATTCATATCTTCACAACAACCAAGATTACTTTTACCTCAGAAATTTTGCATGCGATAAAAATAAATGAAAAAGCCAACAGTTTTTTTATTTGTAAGTTCATTGAATCAAAAATATTATGTTGCACTTTCTACTTGTATTTTGTGGTGATATAATTTTTTCCATTTTAAGAAAACGAAGTGCATGTTTGCATTACATTTTCATCTCCATTTCTCAGTGTTTAAGGCAACTTTTGAAGGAAGCAAATTCCGTCTTCTTGTGGTCCGCGTCCGGTTAATTGATCAAAATTCAAAACAAAACGGTCCTTAAACTGATTTAATTTCAATGGTATCATAATTTAGAAAGTGAGGAAATTATTCTAGATACCGAGGAAAGTGAAGGTGAATTTTCAAAAAGATCATGTTTGGTATCATAATTTAAAAAATTTACCCGGAAAAGTAATTTACTTAAGAATCCGTTTTGAGTGTAAATTGTAAATAAAAATTCCATCTAAGAGAGTGGTATTTTTGGATTCTTGAGAAAATAAAAAAAAATAGGTGAAAAAGAGGAAACTTATCCAATATTCTTGATATTATTTTTTACCTGTCAAACAATTTTTTTGGTAACATTTTTGAAAAATTCACATTTCCATTATATTCTCAAGAATCATGATTCTCGGATAAAAAAAAAAATTTCTCTACCAAACGTCACTTGAGGAGTAATCAATAATGTTTATTTTATTTTAGATTAAAGACTTCTCACATTACCTCATTACATTAGAAGAATTTCTTCTCCTATACATACATTAACACATACAGCAAACATATGGGTTTCACTAATTTTTATTTTCCTTTCCTTGGATCCACATATTTGTTGTGTGTGTAGAAAAAAATATTCTTCTTACGTAACATGAAAAGTTTTTAACCCATTTTATAAATATTAATTGAATTATTTTCAAAATGATGAATACTTATAGAATTTAAGAGGTCATACTCATAAACATGTTAATCGCATACATACACAGAGGCGGACCTAGCGGGTAGGGGTGGGCCCCCTGAAACTTGAAGGAAAAAAAAATTATATATGCTAAAGTTTGTTGTTTACTTGCTGATGTTGTTTAGGATAGTTGTTGGGAAAAATAAATATTATGTTGTAAGAAAAAATTTTAAGTCACGTTACAGAGACAATCAATTGTAGAATTTATTATTTTTAAAATAAAAAAAAAGTAAAAGAATTGATAAACTTATTTTTGTCTTTTTGTATAAAATAATTCAATAATTTTATTAAGTTCTTCCTTGTAGGCATTTTTACATCCTTAGCGTGATCATTCTTTCAAGCTTTTTTTATATTAGATCTATATTATATTGTAAGTACTTTTATTTATCATAATAATATTTTTCATTTTCGTTCTCCCTTGTATAAATTCCTGGGTCAGCCGGTGTATATACAATAGATTTGTGAGCTATAAAGAGTATTTAGTTACTCTATGAGCATTATGGTGTAGAGGTCAGAAAGAGAAAGAACAAATAAAGAAGAGTTTAACTTTTATGCAGTTAATGCAGAAAAATTATCTGCGGTATACTATATATTACGGGTAGTACATAATGTAACTTTTGAAATCTAAACAAAGATATAGTTCATTTCAAAAACTACACTATGTATTACCCATAGTACATAGTGTACTGCAAATAACTTTTCTGCATTAAATGCAGAAATGTTTTTCCCAATAAAGAATATTCACTAAATAATGAACAAAGCATCAAATACCAATGATAAACGAATAAAGAATATCCACTAGATGAATTTTCACAAATCTGTCACATTACAAAATTCCAGTGGAATGGTAACACCTAGAGAAAGCAAAACAAACCACAAAAATGAACGTTTCTGTACACAATCTAAGTTTACAAAACAATTCCCCAAGTTCCCAAGTGGAAAAAAAAACCATCAATCATGGCTCTTGTTCTAGCTTATAAAAAAGACTATTAGCCAGCAAAGCCATAACAATGAAAAAAAACAATGTCTTCTCAATCTAATGAACTGATCTTGAACAGAATCCGGGCAGATAAGGAACTCTATACAGGTCGGTGAACATGCATGTTCTCATGAACACTCATGACAACATTTCGCAACTCCGGGAAGAGTGATATAAGTAGAAGTTCAAGGATTGCATAAGCAAGTTGCTTCACGCATACAGAAGACTACAATGAAATAAGATAGTATAATTGTTAGTGTAAAGAACCAATTCAACCCAAAAGCTTAAGCTATTGGGTGAGATATCTCACCAGTTAGTTTAGAAAACAAGTAAATTGAGTAAGTAGGCAAAACAAAAAAGTAAAGAGAAACAGAAGCATAAAGTCAGCAGTTTTGCACCAAGTGAATACATCAATGGAAAAGAACTTTAACCTGACTAAAGTAATATATATCACTAGCACAACGTCTGTACTGTTTCTGCCCAATTAAGCTGACTAAGGTTGCTGGAGCTCCATCTGAAAAAAAAGGTGGCAACTTTATATGTCAAAGTCTGGAGATGCAAATTCTGAGAATGGAAATGATATTTACTTAAACTTTCACAAAGTTATAAAGACCATATAAACATGGAAATTATGACAATCATTCCAGAGATTTCTTTCTTACCAATGAATCATACAAAGATGAGAAATGCATTGGCTGTGATTGATATCATCCTCCCATCGTGAATCATACCGATGGTAATTTCTCCTATCTCAATGATGAGTCATACGAGCAATGAATTCTCCATGGCTATGATGCACACCAACCTCAATTTCAATTTCAATTTTTTACATCTACTAAGTTTTTCTTGTGGTTTGAAGCTTTCAAATGTTCTTAATGAACTTGGAGAGAAAATTTAGTTCCTACTGTGTATATTTGCTTGCCAGGATATTTTCATTGATGATCATTCTAGCAAGGTCTCTTCTTTCTTGCTCATACAACATTTCAACCAGCGCTTCAAGCTGATGATCATTCACACCATCTTGCTGATTTGCATTTCAAGCAATTATCATCTCTTTGACGTCTCTAGCATCCCTGAATTGTCTTTCCAGCCATATTTTTTGGAGCTCAAATTACATTGTTCAGTCATTTTTAAAGCTTAAAACTTGGTAAGCTTTGGCTTAAGGGAGATTGTTAGAATATATCTCAAAATATCTTGATTGTATCTTAGAATATTATAGTATATAAGATGATCTTTTAGAAATAGCTTCCTAATTTTTTTTTATATTTCATGATCTATTTCCTTAGCTAGAATTAGGAGTCTAACATTAATATAAATAGAGATTAGTGATTTGTAGTTGGTATAACGTATAACACATCATAAAACATCCTTCATATCAAATCGATATCTATTCCAGATTATTGAGTCCTTATTCTCTCTTTTCTACTTCCCCTTCCTGAATTCCTATAATTTTAACAATTACATTTGCACATTTGCTAAACCACATGGAATGTGATTAGAAGAAGTAAAACTTGACGTGTCTCTGGGTCTGTGCAAATGAGCCAAATTTAAAGGGGGTGTTTGCACTCATATTAGAAGAAAGATCAAAATATACAGGAAAGAAGTTCAAATAAAATTTCAAAAGTGCAATAATATCCACCAAGTCAGATGAATCAACATAGCACCCTACAGAAAATAGAACTAACCGAAAAGCAGTTTCTTCAAATCACTTGCTCTACGAGCAGCCTGAAGCTGTTGCTCAAAAGACCCTGACTCTGATTTGGCGATCTTGCTTCCCCCGGAGACACTTGTGGTTTGTAAAGGCTTTTGATCAATGACACTGCCACCAATTAACACCTGAGGGGTCTGTACTCTTAAAAAAAAAGTACCACCAGGCCAGAGGATCTGCAAGCATAAGTAGACAACATGTAACATCAGCAAAATCCATTGACAAATATTTAATAACTTTTCTTTTTGGCTGGTGAGAGTTACATCTATCTGAATTAAAAAAGAGGTAATTGTAAAATCATGTAAAGAAATTTAGGGCAGGAATTCATCGCTTCATCTGCTATCTATGACTCACCAAGAAAGAACAGCAAATTGATTTTCTTTGGATGAAATAAATAACACAATATATGTATATCAATTTCAAATGCAAAATTTTATTAGGGTAAAATATGTTTTGAAAACTCCAAACAAGCAAGAATCCCAATTATCAAGCTTTTGAGCTCCATCCAATGATGAAAAAAATACCAAGCAGTTACATGCCAAGTAAGCAGTAATTGTATCACATCTAACAAATATTGGCAAGTTCATAAAAAGTAAATTAACAATTTTGGCAGGTTAATAGAAAGATTTAAGATTAAAAAAATTGACAAATATTAAATCAAATGCAATTTAAAGCAACAAAAATCAATAACTGTTTAGTTAATTAGAAATTTTGAGGATAAAAAAAAACCTAAAACCACTCCCCGTTAAACCCGACTAGCGAGTGTGGGGTGGAGGAAATCCTTGTACACAGTCTTACCCTTGCATAATTGCAAAGATGCTGTTTCCTGGATTCGAACCCATGACCTTTCAGTCATAAAGGAACAGTTTTACCACTGCTCCGGTTCGTCCCCATAAATTTTGAGGATACTACGGTACAAATAGTGCACTATGTTAACTTCATTATAAATTCAACAAAGCTATATTGTAGAACAAAATAATGAGTCGAGGATACTAGGCTAATACAGAATTTTTTATTTTAATAATATAAGAATATCTATTGAAAGAAACCAGAAACTACAAATGAGGAGATGTCCTGTTTAAACACAGAAGTTCAAAGCAAAAGAGCACAAAATAAGAACAAGCAACGACATGAACTTAAAAAAGCTCTTCAATCCTGTATATCTACCAGAAAAAACAGTGTGTCAGTGTAAGATACTGTTAATTTACATTAAGGTGGTGTTTGGTTGAGAGCTTTTCAGCGGATATCTATGTTTCTCAAGTATGGCTTTTAGAAACACTATGTTTGTTTCAACGTATTTTCACCAAAAACCCATCTATCCAATTTGTATGGATTTATGAGAAACATAGATATCCGCACTGTTTAGAAACCCAATTTGAAGGTGGGATTTTTCAGAAAACCGGTTATGTGGCTTTTAATGCACTGTTGATTTCATAAAGTTACCTAATTTTTCCAGTAAAGTTTTTCTCTACCAAACAACTTTTTTTTACATTTTTCTACCTATCTCACTTTATCTATCTTTCCAATCATTTCTCTATCTATTAAATTTCCCTACTATTCCAAAAAAAATTCCTCAACCAAACGCCCCCTAAAAGAAAAACAATATCCCAGCAAAATATGTTTAAACTTTTAGCTCAATCCTTACATCTTGGACCCACCGAATCCCTTGAGCAATGGTATCCTCTCTCCGGAGCCAATGAATCTCCCTCAGGAGCCAATCATCAATAGCATCTTCCATAACCAACTGTAATATCTGTTTCGACATCCAAAAGACCTGTCTTCTGCATGAACAGAAATGAACTAGCATTAGCAATTTCAAGAAATGAACATCACCATGGCACTTGATATTTTTCTCAGTCAAATCCATTTAGCCTAAAAGTAACAAAATTTCAAGAAAATTATAAAAGTTTGAAATCTGGTTATGGTTATTGGCATGCACAAGTTGGAGAAAAACATGAAGCTATCATAAGCAGATTATGATCAATTATTCTTTTCAAATCAAACAAAACAGAAATCAAGATAGTACCCGTGCCTGTCAACGGAATTGGCAAACTCAAAAGTTCATTTAGAACTAGCAAATTCATAGCATAGAACCAATAAAGTCTGTGTTCTACAGCAGTAAATTTATAAGTATGTTATTCTCTCATGATTTAGAATAGCTCACCTGTAGAATAGATATATGTGGTTACAGGGCTGAAAATCAGCTTGCAATGAACAATATTTATATGAGAATTCTCCAGGAGGAGAATATACAGTTTTGCCTACACTTTTCACAGTTGAACAATGCCAAAGAATGGATTTTATTTCTACCACACGCCCTCGCAGTCTTACAAAAATTTGCTTTAGGTTTTAAGTATGACAAAACCTACATTCACCAATCATCATTATATTGTGCTAAAATTCAATTTGATTATAATATTGAGAGGTTGCAAGGATCAAACTGCAAATCACTTCACCGTGAAGATTTCATAATTCATAACATGTGGGGGAACGGGCACTCTAAAATCTTAAGTTGTTAGGTGAAAGTGTAGAACTCCGTCTTGTCTCCAACTTCATTGAAAATCACACATCTTAAGATAACTTGCAAGCTAAGAAAGCACATTAAACACAACACCAAAAGAAGCTTCTGTAAATTGGCATAAGACTTAAAGTTGACAGACATTATTTAATAGCAGTGACTGACTTGGAAATACAGAAAGACCAGATAGAGTAATATACTAATATACCTTAGCCAGCCTCTTTTGTTAAGCTGAAATATGTTGTCCACCAAATTCAAAATAGGGACACTCACGTTAGGTGGGGTCCACTGCAAAATGGTTAAAATTATAAATGTTAATGAGTCTTTTAAACTAAAAACAAACAAAAAATAAAGGTTAAACTGATATATAGGTCCCTATAATTTTTGGAAATGTCCAAATAGGTTATTTTTAAAGTTTGTAATAGGGTCCTTAAGGTTTTAAAATTTTCTAATTGAGTCCCTGCTATTACATAGAGCACCGTTATAGTGCTTGAGCTGATCTCAAGAACTCAAATTAAATTTTTTTAAGCTATAGGGACTAAATTATAAAATTTAAAATCCTTATTATTTCAAAATTTTCTAATTGGATCCTCCAGTCCAGCATACTGTTAGAGCACCATAACAGTATTCTAACAGTAGGGACCAAATTAAGAATTTTGAAATTATAGGGATTCAATTTAATTTTTATTTTTATTTTTAATTATGAGATTCAATTGACAGGGGCGAACTGGTATAGTGATAAAGCTGCTCTTTCATAACTGAAAGGTCATGGGTTCGAATTCAGGAAACAGTCTCTTTGCAATTATGCAAGGGTAAGGCTGCGTACAAAGATTACCTCCACCCCACACGCTAGTCGGATTTAACGGGAAGTGGTTTTTTTAATTATGAGATTCAATTGCACACTTCTAAAATATAGGAATCTATTTGAACATTCCCTACAAGTATTGGGACCTACATACTATTTTAACAAAAAAAAAAGGTTCTAATCAAAGAATGGACAACAAAGGATAAGCCAAGATCCTCATAACATCCTGCTTAGCAAAGTCCCAAGTAAAACTTTAGTCCTGCTTTGTTCTGGTTCTCAAATCATTATTCTTTCCCCTAGAAGGGATAGAGGGTTTCCAAAACATTTTCTCTGAGCACACCATCAAGTTTTCCTCACAGTTCTCATTTTTAATTTGTAATAAAAATTATAAGAAGCAACTTCATTTTCGAAAGATTTAGTAATTAATTAGGGTAACTGAGTTTTAAACACTTGAACAGATCTATGAAAACTAGGACACTTAATAGCTTACCTTCCTTCCCTATTTGGTGGAAACATGCTGATTGCACAAAACGATTAAAACAAGCCTTTAGCCAGCTAATGGAATCAATTCAATAAAAGCACAGATATATTTTCTTCATACATTTTTATTTGATGGAGGGATCACTCTCTCCCCCCTCCTCCTCCTCCTCTCTCCTATTTTCTTCTTAAAAGGAAGATAAGCTACCAATAGTAGTATATTAATGTTGTACAGTTTTCATCATATCTCAGTTATATAAATGCTCTTCCCAATTTTAACAAATAGGCAGAATACTAGTCAGCAGCCTGGTCCCAGAGACAATAAGCAGCTATTGTATAACTTAAGCACACACCAATAAGTAACAGTGAACCAATTATCTCAATCAACAATCAAAGTGTGATGTGCAAAACAAAAAAGATAGAAAACCCAGCTGACTATACAAACCTCAGGTGGCACTCCAACTGGATCCTCTACATTATTAGGAATTAGAGTGGAATTTGTCGCTGGAACATCCTTGCCAATCGTAGCTTCCATAACCACATCATGATTTCTATCTAGATCCAGTTTACTAGACTCATTACCATGGTTTATTAGCTGTTGTGAATGATCCTTCGAGCTCAATTCATTGTCAGAATGCCACCCATTATCTTCTGCTACTTCTCTATCAATATTCTCATGGCCAAAATTAACTTCTTTTTCACCTTCCTCATAATCAGAGCTTAACACACTCTCTGCAGCATTTTGCCTTGAAATACTTTTATCCATTTCATCCACATTCAAGTGCATGTTCCAAGTGGAAGATGTAGAAGAACCTTCAATGGTGGAGGATGCTGAACTAGAAACTTTTCGCTTTAAACCATATGAAACGCCTTTAAATTGGCGTACAATATCATCTACAGCATCATCTACGTTGACTGCCAATATAAAAAATTTGAGCATTATGATAGGAATTGATTTTTGCTGACGATAAGAAACAATGGAGTATAGCTCCTTACAATGGAGAAAATCCTCTTGATTATACTGAAAACAGAAAATCAAGATAGAAAAAACGAGTGATCTTTGAGGGTCTGCCAACTCCCTACCCAAAGGGCCCCAAAATCTTCCAACAATTTCTTGCCTAACCTTCACACAACTTCTTGACTAACTCCTACTCTCCCTGCTTTTCATATTTATCTCACTCTCCCGAACCGAATACCCTCATCTGTACTTATTAGTTGCAGCCATGTGGGCATTCCATTATGTTGCACTTGAATATTCCCCACTCTGTCCTCCTTAGCCACATGTGCTGATTCTCTACTTCCCATCCCCTACCTTGTAGCATAAGCCTTAATGTGTAGGTAAACAAAGAAAGGACTGATGCAGAAATATGAAAATGGCATATTGCATATCAACACAATCCTCTCATAAGTAGCTTTATAGCATTCAAGTCCATATGATAAATAAAATGGAAGAGAAAAGCCATTTATAAAACATACGTCCATCAATTAGGGATAAATAAATTCATTGGAAGAACTTTCTATAATAAAACAGCTTTGGCTTCCAATTTGAAACCCCAAATATTAAAGATATAGAAGATCTGTATTCATTATCAATTAAAAGGTTGTCACTTGCTAAAAAATAATACATTATGCCAGCTGCCTAGGTCGCCATTCTATCCTGCCCAACCAGCCCACAACAATGATGAAAAGTTTCCAATTTTCCATCTCATTGGCTTCAACCCCCCGATAAAAGAAAAAAGCAAAACTAACATGGTGTTAGTAGCAAGCCCCCGATTAGGAAGGTGTATGTGAACAGAAATAAGGATGGGCCCAATGATCTAGATGAGATGGGCCCTGTTAGTAATAGTTGTTACAGTTAATTGATTGTTGAGATATATAAAATCATTAATAGAACCAATTCAAGCCCACCTACCTGTGCATTGTCCGCCCTTCAAGCCCAGTGGGCTCTAATGTGAGGGGGCGTGTTAAGATATATAAAACCATTAATGTATCATCACCCAATAGCTTAAGCTTTTGGGTTGAATTGGTTCTATTAATGATTTTATATATCTCAACATTGATATTGTTAGATATAGAAGATAAAGTTACTGGTATTAATTGATACTGTTAGATATATTAAATAGAGTTACTTGATATTAATTGATATTGCTAGATACAGAAGTTAGAGTTACCTGATATTGGAGGATATTCCTCCAAGGAATAGTCAGAAGCAGGATATGAGCAGAAAAGTGGAGGATGGTATTCAGTCACGACTCACGAGAGTTGAGTGAGTGGGAGAGATAAGGTTATCAAATACCTGAGAAATGGTTCTATAATCATTCTTTTCCTTCCTAACCTTGGGTTCTCCATTGATCTCGGGGTCAAGGAGATCATATCAATAAAAATCCATTTTTTCCTTCATTATTTTTTAAATCTTTGGACCAGTTCTATCAACTGGTATCAAAGCTCTTGAATCTAAGGAGCATTTCATCATATACACGGGGATGGAGGCCAGATGAAAATCCTTGGAGAGATTGGGTTTTTCTCAATTCTTGGCTATTGATGAGCCTAAAAGGAGTGGGTCAGTTAGTTAGTTATTCTAGAATATTCTATGAGTAGGATAAAAGGAGTGTGTGTGTAGGGTGGGCAAGCATGAATTGAGGATTGGTTTAGTGGAGAAATTGGGGATCTCTTGGGAACTCTTGAAGCTTAGGTATGTTGGCTTTGAGGGGGAGTTGAGGTCTTTTGGGTTTTTTTCTACCATTAGTGTTTGTAAGGAGCTTGTTTCCATTTATGTTTTTCATCAATTTACAGTCAAATTCAGTGTTATTTTTCTGGTTCCATCTGCTACGAAGCTTAATGAGAAAATAAGGACGTGTTTCTATGGCCCTTTCCAGATTATTCTAAAAGCAGGGGCAATGGCATATCAACTTCAGCTTCCTTTATTCAGTCTTCCTTGTCTCCCTTTTAAATTAAGCAGTTTCCCCTCATGTGACTCATCAGTCCTTGCCTTCGATGCTAACTGAAGACTTGGAATTAAGGGTGCAACCTGCTCCTGTCTTGGCCATTAGTGATAACCTTACCAGATTTTCACCTTGAGGACAAGGTGAAACTTTCTTTTTTTTTTTTTTCGGGGAGTGGGGCCGGGGGTGAATTGTTAGTAGCAAGCACCAAAATAGGAAGGTGTATATGAGAAGAAATAAGGATTGGCCAAATGATCTAGTTGTGCCAAGCCCTGTGAGTAATAGTAGCTAGAGTTAATTGATATTCCAAAATATAGTAGAGTTACTTGATATTAATGATATTTTAGATGTAGTACATAAAGTTTCGTAATATTAATTGATATTGTTAGATATATTAGATCGAGTTACCTCATATTAATTGATATTGTTAGATATAGTAGTTAGGGTTACCTGTTATTGGAGGATATTCCTCTAAGGAAGAAGTAGGATATAAGAAAAGAAGAGGAGGAGGAGAGAGTATCCAGTTAAGACAGTTGAGTGAGTTGGAGAGATAGGACTCTCAAATACATTAACAAGCAGTTCTCTAATCATTCTTTCTATTTCCTAACCTTAGGTTTTCTCCATTGATTCATTCAGGGGTAAGGGAGATCACATCAACAAAAAACATTTTTTTTGTCTCCATTATCCTTTTAATCTTTGAACCAGTTCTATCACATGGCATAGGTAAAAGCTTCCTATCCCACTGTCTTTTTATTACTTTTTTTGTTAAGTTTGGATGGGTGAAACAACGGACTAATATTGATTTGAAAAGTTTAGAAGACGGAAGTCCCAATCAAAGTTACACAAATTCATCAGGCACATTAACGGGAGAAAATAGAATCCTAACTTGCAGATCACCATGCATAAAATAGCTATTAACAGAGCACTTAAATTGCAAGTATGACAAAAATAGAAAATGTTAAAACCATATACCTGCCAGGGTCCTCATCATTGAAGAAGATTTCCCAAAAGAGTAGTTCTTCAGGGGAAAAACAGGGAAAAAATAGTTAGATAGTTATTTTTCCCATCTTTAAGTACCAAAATAAAAAATGATATAAAGGTTACTCATCTAATTTTACGGTAAGAAATACCAAGCAGATGCAAACCTTTGAGGAAACACTCAAAAAGTCCCATACATCGTGTTGTTCAGCAACATTAGCTATTGACAGGAGGTCCTGAAACAAGACAGCATTATTGATGCAGTGTTATAGTTGTTAAAACAGTACAACCGGAAGTATTTCTTTAAAGAGTTGTAGATGATGATTGAGAATACCTGGAGATATTTATTGAGTCGAATGCAACGCTGATGGACAAAAGCATCCTCTGTGCTTGAGGAAAATATCCTTTTGGGAGGCAAATGTAATGTGTAATTAGGAATATCTTTTAGATGTCGATGCAATCGCTCAAAATTCCTGTATCTGAATATTACCAAAAGAAAGTCCAGTGATGTCAAAGCACAAATATAAATATGGACAAAACAATTTTGAAACACCATATTTATTCTCTATAAAGGGTCAGTTTAAACTAGAAGATGGGGGAAAGAGAATGAAAAAACAAAACATATAATACAGTGATCATAATATTTTGTTGTATAGTTACAACTTAAAACTTTGAACTTTACAACCTCTATAAACCCAATTCTAATTAACCTGTTTGTAAAAAGGGAAAATTCAAACAAACATAACTTGTGCACTCCCACCATAGTAGAAATGAATGAAAGAAGCAAACCTTCTACCTTCTTTTTACAAACCAAGTTTTCTCTTGCCCATCAGTCACAGCAATTGAATAGACAGCAAATGATGTGGAACCGAGTTTCTCAAAATATGCTCCCATCACCTGCAGTGTACAAGTAGACAACAAAAGAGCCAACAGTGAAATATTCCATGTATCACAAAGTGAATATTATATTGATTATAAATCAATTTATATTTTAGAATAGTATATTTCACAATTCATAACTTTTACAGTCAAAAGTGCATACCCGGCAACGAAGCTTGGGAGCAAATTGTCCCTCTCTCCTAATGACCATGTCAGAACTACTCTTTCCCTGAAATCCTTCACCATGCTTCTCAAATTCGGGGGTGTAGGACTCTGACATTGTGGACCCTCCTTTATGAGGTTGGATTCCCAAGACAGAAGCACTGTTACATCTCTTGAGTGGAATTTTATTCTTATTAGATGTGAGATCCTTGGTCTCCTTCACTTCATCAACTTGATGATCTGTTTCAGAAGATAGTTCCTTGTCAGGATCCGGCAAAGACTCTGACCTATTTGTGCTTCCAACATTTAGTAGGGGATCTGAACCCACAGTATGCAGTGAAGACTTTCCATTTGGAATTGGACATGTTCCAGGTTTACTCACTGATGTTTCCTGAGCCAAATTTCTATCAGGCAGTGAACTATATGTAGCAAGATTTTTTGCAGATTTGACATTTTTATTCTTTTTCCTTTTGTAGTTCCTTCCTCTTGTCCACATGTTCTCAAGATTCTCAGGCATAAGAACTTCGGTTCTTCTCTGAGTTGCAGCCTCTAGCACTTGTGCCCAATCAGCAGAGGCTGTGTGATTATCATTTCCATTGCCAGCAACAGAATGACCATGATTATTATGAGTTGTAGCACTAGTAGACTGATCACCACCACCCATCCAATTCATACCTTCAGCATTAAGGACAAGTAGAAGAGATTCAATCACCTCATTGATATACCTGATCATACAGACAAATATAGTTTTATGAACAGAAATTGGAAAAAAAAAAAATCTAAGAAATATAGTTCAAATTCTACAGTATTTTTAATCACAGATGACCAACACAATAGGTTTATTTAAGAAATCAGGAAGAAAATATAGTTTCTACAATGTTTGTGTATTAAAACGTTTTCAATTGTACCAATTAGACAATATGCTAAAACATTTTTTTCTTGGATCAACAGACAAGATATTTTAAACTTGTAATTAGATTTTAACTTACAAATTAGCCCACTTGAGAGTTGAGAGGTAACATATACTTTTTTCACATAGGCTTTAATTATGTTATTGGATACTTCCTACCCTTGTTACTTATTAAGTTATTTACATATTAACTTTTTTTATAAATCTATAGTTTAGGAACTGTTCTTTGATGAAGCAGCCATATGTAAGATAATTAGGGGTGTTCGCGGTCTGGATTTGATCGGTTTTGGAAGTAAAAAATATCCGATCCAATCCCTTCAGTTTGATCATGTAATCATCCATTCGGTTTGGATTTTTTTTCAAATTTGATCCGATCCGATCCAAAAATTTTTCGATTTGGATTGGATTGGTTTTCGGGTTTTTGAAAAGCCTAAAATTTGTTTCATGATTATTGTGCAAATAACATATCTTTTGTATATATTGACTTTGTAAAGTTTTTTTTTTGTCAATGAGATATGAAATTCTACACAGATGAAATTTTGCTGATGGGATGTGGCTAGGTTTTTTCTTGGGTTTAGTTGATGGGCTAATGGGTCTTGGGTTTAGAATTTTTTGGACTATGATTGGAGAAAAGCCCAAGTAGGTAAAGAGGAATTAATATATTGGATCGGTTTGGATTGGATCGATTTTCATCAACCAAACTGAAATCCAATCCAATCCAATCCAATTAAAATTTGCGGTTTTTTTCGGTTTTCGGTTTTTTGATTTTCAGTTTATTCGTTATCGATTTTTCGGTTCGGTCACTGCGGTTTGAATCGATTTGGATCGTTGATGAACACCCCTAAAGATAATAGATGGGAAACACCCCAACCCATTATTTCAAAGGACTAACAATTAATAGATGGGATCACAGCCCATTGTATTTTTCTTCTTCTGCATACCCAAAGGTTCATACCTAAGCCCTACTAACACCCTAAATCCCATAATGTTTATCCTTGCCCTCTGCTTAGATGTTCAAATTTTTTTACTTGCCGCTACCAGGAAGTTCCAGTAACAGATACTTATAACCACCCTTTCACTTCTCAACTTTCAAGCTTATCAGCCCACAGACAGAACAAAACCAAGGTAAGAAGGTTTTCTGAGTCTCATATTACATATATACCAAGACTGATTCAAAAAATACCTCTCAACAACACCTCCCACCCCACAAAAACACAAACAAAACTTTAAAAAGTCTTCAATCTATCTAAAATTATTGGAGCAGAAACCCTTCAACAGGGTAGAAATTGTTAAGGCCAATCTCCCCAAGAAGAAAGGCTTAATGTAAATGACACATAAGCATAATATTCAACCACATACCCAGGGCTTGCCAAATTCATTACAGGTTGCAATATCAGGCAAGTTAAAATTTCCCGAGCTATAGATCGAATCACAGGACATTGAACGTCTGGTTTTCTGAGTACTGTAGCTAATACCCCACTCATTAGCCGCTGAAGAACCTAAAGGAAGAGAAATCATTAGATAAGAAGGTATGAGTTGCATTTTTTAAAAGCAAAACAAAGATAACATCCAGTCATCCAGACACTCCACTCACACCTTGTACTCACTGTCTGGAGATATTAATGCTGGATGAAGCTCCTTAGAATTCAACAGATGAAATTTCAATCTTTCATCCCTCTCCTGAGAAGATAATGTTAACATCACATCAACACCTATAGCAGCTTGATTTCTTCTGAAAAGGTCTATATGATCACTTATTAAATCAACTATATCCCTGCAATGTAAACGAGACATAGCACAATTGGTTATTTTCTATTATTATTATCTAGTACTAATCAATTCATTATCACAGTAACTAATCAAGAACTCGTCGAGTTCCTTTCTTTCTGGAAGCAAATAATAGAAGAGGGGAAAATCATATACCTCGTGAGCAAGTCAACAAGGTTTATCTCTTTAACCCTAACTAACACTTCAGCAAGAGCATCCATGACTAAGTCACGTATCTGCTCAGGAAACTCCCCATCTGGAGTAATGTCTGAGTACCACATATTTATAACGAAATCCTTCAATATCAAATCTAGGAAATCATTCAAGGCAGCCTCCACAACAGGAGAATCAATCTTCTTCTTCCATTTGGGAGGGGGAGGTGAAGTAGAAAGGCATGCATCATTCAGAGACAACTGTTTTTTCTCCAAATGAGATAGGTAAGTCTGTGGTCTTGGGGGCTGAACCTTCCAACGGAACTCCACCTTGTTCACAAGAATGCGCAGAGCAACAAAAACTAGAATGGACATTGGTATATTCATCCACATGGATTTACTTGTGTCTGTGATGAACAACAAACAACATCAATAACCAAAAATAATAATAATAATAATAATAATAATCAAAATCTGCAGTCTTAAAACCATAACCCAGATAGCAAAATAGAAAATATAAATCAAAGACTCAAAATTTGCATTCTTAAAACAAAACCCAGATAGGAAAAATTAGCAAGTGTCCATCTAAGATTCAAAATTTGCAGTCTTAAAGCAAAACCCAGATAGGAAAAAAAAAAAAAAAACAAGTGTCAATCAAAGATTCAAAATTTGCAGTCTTAAATCAAAACCCAGATAGAAAAACAGTAAATGCAACAACAACAAGAAAAATTCATTGTGGAAGCGTGAGATTAACTAGAAAATAACATGAATGAAATGAGATTGGAATGACTTACGAGTGAAGAAATAGGAAATGGCGAATATACAAAGAGCCCACCAGAGAAAACGGAGCTTGGCCTCTTCAATGAGATCATAGATGGTATCCATTGTTGGTGTTGGTGTTATAGGACCCATCTTCTTCCCTCTGTAACTAAAAGCGAACTACTTGACACCTTCAAAATATAACACGACAATGTCACAGCGACAACCTCGCTATCTCTTGTTCGGTTTGAATTCGTTTTGTTTTGTCCACCTAAGCTAATCTTTCTAAATGAAATGCTATGTTTTGCAAAACGAGTGTTAATGTAAAGTCTCGGCTCCATTCACTTGTTTCATTCCTTTCTTTGCTTTTACTTCAAGGTCCTCAGAGGAAACTATACTTGTATTTGATGAGAATTTCTATTTATTTATTTATTTTACGTTAATGAGAATTTCTCACTTGAAAACTTTAATAATATTACTCCTAATCTCTTTCAATTTTTTCAACATATTTATTCGAATGCATCCTTTTTAATGTCTCATCGTATATTAGAATTAGAATATTAATCCAAACTTTGAAAAGTTTGCTAACATGGCACTCTCTCCTTCAATATCAATTTGGTGTTTATACTTGAAACAATTTTGAAATATTTTCTCTTTTAGTAATTTTTAAAATTCAAATTTTAAATTTTATAGATGGGAAAAGAGTTCAACATTCTTTGATGAAAAAACAACTGTATTAATATCTCACTATTTTCTACATGGGTAATTGTTAACCTATTAATAATATCACTACTTTCTGCATCGAAAATTATTAAGCCTATTAATAATATTTATTATTATGTCTATTAGGATTAATTAATTTTTTGGGTCTACAAACGAACCAATGATTATTTTGTCAGAAGCTTTAAAAAATAAGTATTGATACAAAAAATAAGTTCAAAGAAACTCCTTAGTTCGTGTATAAATAGGATATGTTTTACTGCATATTTTCTATTGATAATATGTGCACATGTTTCTTCTGTTTCTGTTTGTTTATTTTCTTCATCTTCTCAAGTTGTTCTTCTGCATAATCTTATTCATTATTTGTATATTTATAGTTTTTTAGGACATGTTTATTACATAGTATAGGATAAGACATGATAGTATAAGACATGTTGATCTTCCATATTCCTGTTCATTGTAATCTTTCCCATATGTCATGGGTTGCGTACTCATGCAGGGATTGAGCCTTTTGGTATAGCTGCTAACAGGCAACTTAGCGTGCTTCACCCTTTTATAAGTTATTGCATCCTCACTTTCGTGACACCATGAACATAAACGCACTTGCATGACAAATCCTCATGCAGGTGGCCTTCTAGAGATAACAGTTTTTCCGTCTAAGTAGTTTATGGAAATGTCATCTGTGATTTATAAGGATTGGGTTTTCCTTGATCAAGCACTGCATGCAAATCTTCTCAAGAGGTAGTAAACCTCACATACACATGACAATTGCTAAATATTAATGGTTTGTTCTTAATATGGTTGAAATCATGATAACATATAGCTTTAATTCGGTAAATATAACCTCCACAAATCACATCATTTTTTTGTAGTGGTAAATGCAGATAATTTATCTGCAGTAACTGCAGAAATATTTTTCTGTATTTCTTATTCATAATATTATTGAAGAAGAAGTTGTGTTCAATTGTGCATGAAAATATATCATTCCATGTTAAAATTTCATATGACCTGGTCATGTGAAAATTTTGTTTCTGTATCTGTCTTCACTAATGATAATTGAATTCCACGTATTTAATGCATCTGAACAGAGTAATAGATACAAAAATTTCGCATGACCAATAAGACTCGAAAATTTTTATAACGGAGAGCGAAAATTAAAAATTAAAGTTACAAATTTTATTTTGACTAATAAAAAGTGTTAACTATTACAAGTATTAATTTTAATGGAAAGGGCTAACTGTTAGGATTAGTAATTTATTATTATTAAAAAGGGAAATTTTTTTCTTAGATACAAAAAAAGGTTTATTTAAATTTTTGTCTTTTTAAATTATTGTCATTTTAGTTAAAATTAATATTTTATGTTTAATATTTAAATTAAAAAAATCTATCACTTTGTCTCACCATGACTTCTATTTCCCTCACCAAAAAATACAGTAGTTATGACAAGAATAATACAATTTTATACATTTTAAAAGGACAAATACTAAACCCTATTAAAATGTCATTATACATATAATAATAATAAATATCAAAATCTAGAGATGAGCTATTCACCAAAAAAAAAATTAGAAATGAATGAGCATTAGGTCTGCCACTGATGACTAGTAGCAGGTCATGTGAATTTTGACAGAGAAGATCCACTCCCATTGTGCACTATATGCCTATAGGAAAGATCCTATTTTCGTTTAATATTTTATCATTTTATTTATTTTTAATGGAATTTTAGAAAGAAAGAAGCCATCGGCAAACCAAAAGTAAAAAGGGGAAAAACTAATATTCTTCATTAGTTTAATTCCAATCATTACAATTATAGCAACAAATAGATGAAACAATTTGCGATTCACACAGAAGCACTTAATGAAAATGTTATGGACCTGAGAAAGGCCCATATTCTAGAAGGACCAATAAAGGGCAGTACAAAAGGAAGGGAATCTCCTATTGATGACGATCCTGTCCAGACAGCTAAACAGTTGGACTTGGGCCCCCAATATTCCTAAGAGGCCCAGAAGTACACTCCTTCAGGTAACCCATCTATAAATAAGGAGTAATTAAACTAATAAGGTACACACACTCTCTAAACCGTCTCTCTTAGTTTGTCACTGTGCACACACCCCACGCCTTGACTATGTCGATTATTATTGTGTACAGTGATCAGCCTACCCTCCAGGGTATCTCATTCATAGATACTTGAGAGAGAGCACCTAGATCCTACATAAAATATACCAGCCACCGGATGAACACCTCTGTCTTTCAGACAGAACAGAAAACAAAATGATGAAAAACAAATAAAAATAAGGTAAAAAAAAATTAACAAAAGGAAACGAAAGAAGAAAATCACACGAAATAGAGCAGGTACAAATGTTGTAAGTTCTACCCAACATGAGACCTAGGGAGCAAAGCCTTGCTTTAAAGTTTCAATGGTAGAAACATTAGTCTTGAAGGCCAGAAGCACTCAAAGGTTGATATAGTGAGAGCTGAAATCTTAGTGTCAGCATTGTCTTGGAAGTGCACAAGAGCCTTTGAGAATATGAATAAGTCCCCAGTTTGAAGATTCTGAGTGAAAAACTTATTATTTGTGTCTATAAACCCAACTTGAAGGGTACCCTAAGCAACAAAGAGTAGTTGACCCTGAACAACAAAGAGTAGTTGTGTGTACAAGAGGAATTATCACATTTTAAGAAATGACTTTGAACTTGGCCCTACAAGTTACTTCTGTGACTTGTGCAAGTAAACAAGGAGAACCAATAATATTTTAGTTTTTGGTGGGCTCAAACTAATGAAGTTTAACTAGCTCTATGCTATTTGATGAGATTGAAGTATGTTTTAGTTACGAGTTTTCTTTTTTGCATTGTTGGTCTCCTTTACGTGCAAATATTAAGTATGTATGGTTTACATAGACTTAAGTATGTTTTCATTTTAGAAAACAAAAAGTAATATTGGTTCGTGGTAGCCTGAAAGTATGATTTTCATCCGTTTTCAACTTAGTGAACTCAACCGCATCTTCATAATGCATTTGGCATATTTTATGTTTAGCTATTCCAAACAAATCCTTTATATTTTTTGCTATTCACTATACACATTCATTAAGTTTCATTAAAGGTAAGATGCTGCTCTACATAAATACATTGGTCTTGAAATTTTGTTAATATTAATATTTGTCTTACGCGCGTAAATAAATATGAATGTTATGCAGGTTAGTTTGTGTCTCCCTACAAATTCCTATCTTCACGATTCTGGTCAAATATCTCTTACGGTTTTCAAAACACACAATGCATTAAGAGATAATTATATAATAAAAAAATGCTAGAGTGAGGAGTAAAAGCATAATGGTTTAGAAGAAGAGTTCTAAGCAATTTATAAATACTTCCAACATCAGTAGAATGCGCGATGAAAAAGGTAATTTATCTCAAAAATTTACAATATTAATTTAACTATAACTATCTATTGCAAAGTTTTTAAATGTCATATTTTAACTAATAGTTTCTCGTATTATTCGTACTATATTATCTATTCCACATTTTAATTGTTCAAATAGAAATTGATGTCACGATAATATGTCCATGCGTTCAACTTTTACTACGTTATATAAGGAGAACTTCATATCAAGGTACGATCGTCATGTAATTAAATATTATTTTATTCAGCTATTTTTCTAAGGCATGTAGGTACATTAGCGTTGTCTCACTTTTTGTTGTTTTAAAGGTTGCAATATTGTTCCCCAAGTGATTATTGTCCAAGTCGTACTTCAACTGATGTCTGTAATGCTTTGTGTAGCTTTGGCTCTCATTTAAATTTTTCCTTATGATTTTTCCCTGTTGTCCCATATTGACAGTTTTGAAAATAAAAATATTGTATTTGCTTGTGTAAAAATTGGCTGATTACTAGGTGAAATTTATCTCCCTCGTACTATCTTGAGTCATGGGCAATTATATGTGGTATTATCAAGAGTAAAGAGCAAACATGTATTGAAGATATTGATATTTGATGACAATGGTTGTGTTACAAATAGTACCTTTAACATCGTCTACAAGAAGTATTTCAAAGATTGGTGTAGTTGATTTGGTTCTGTTTAGACACATTCATTCTACTATAAGCAATAAATCTAACTCATAGATATGTGGGTAGTCATTAACATTTAAAGTTCTTTCCGTAATTGTTTGACAATGATAAAGACTTAAAGATCAACAATTTGTGTTTCAATTTCATCAATTCATTTTTTGTCTATTTATGTGAAGTAATATAGGACTTCAAATCTCCTTTACAGAATCTCGAAAGTTAATGCAACTTTGAAATAACTAGAAAGAGATAACATTGTTGTTTGGTAGAGGTAAAAATAGAAAAAAGTAGCAAGAGAGTACTTCTTTATTTCAGAGATTTCTCTAGTAAAACGACTGTATTTTTCATTT